TAAAAGAAATATATTGTATAAAAGAAATATATGTTATAGACGATATAGATGACATAGAAGACATATATGATTTTTTAAGGATCGATGTCATCCTTTAGATCATCATCATCCATGTCTTCTTTCGTATAACAATGGTTACTTTATAAATCTAATTTATAAAATATTTTTTTTATTTTGTAAATGCATTTATCATTTTAAAATTTTTTTATATTTATATCAAAAAACAATATTTTATATATTATTATATATTTACAAATGATTTTTACACTAAAATTTTTAAGTATAGTAAACTATTCATAATATATAAAATCAAAATAATACATTATATATAATTAATAATATATATTAAATATTTGTTTAATACATACAATATAATTAATTAATATATTAAAATATGTAGTATAAAATTTTTTAATATATAAAATTTTATGTTTGATTTGGTTATCAGATTTGTATATAAAATATTTAATATGATAAGCATAAATTTTATTAGTTAAAATTTTTTTGAATATAAAAGTAAAAAGCCATATGGCTGATCTAAACAAAGTAAAATTTTGATATAAAAACTAATTTTTAAGTTTATATTACCTTAGTTATAATTAATTATTATATTACAAAAAAAGTATCTACAAAGATAAGGTTTATAATTCTATTGTTACTACTATTTTCACTTACATAGACTACTTATAAATCTAATAAGTATTCTGTTATAATTTCTTTAAATTATTATTTTGCAAGTTATTTTTAATATTAAAAATTTTTTAAAATTAATATTTATAATTATTAAAGAAAATGTTAAAAAAATATAAATAAATTTAATTTTATTTAATATAATAATTTTTAAATCATAAATAATTATATCTTTTTTAATTATATAATATTATAGCCTATTGTAATTTTATTTTTTTGATTATATGATTAATTAATTAAATTTCTTAATTATTTTAATAATTATTATTATAATAACTTAATAATTGAATTAATTTTTGTCTCAAAATTAACTTTATTATTCTATTTTTTATATTTTTTAATTCTTATTTGATTAATTCTAATAATTTATTTATTTATATTTTTCTATAATCTTGTATTTTACTTTTATTTTTCATATTTTTTTTTTCATTTTTTTTTTATGTTTTCTTTTATTATTTAAATATTTTTTTGTTATTTTATATTTTTTTTACTATTTTACTTTTTTCTTCTTTTATTTTCTCTTTTAATTCCTATTTTAATGTTTTTAATTTACATTATTTTTTACTAATTAATTTATTAAATTTATTTAACAAATTAATTTATCTGATTATATAATTATTTATTCTAATAAAATATTTATTTTAAACTGAATTATCTTAGCTAAATTAATTTTCTTTTGGCTAATTTTATTCTATCTATTTAATTTTTTCTTTTATATTATATATTTTGTTAATCTTAAAATATTATATATTTTACTATATATAGATTAACTTTTTTTATAATTTTTCTTTAATTTTAATTAATTGATACTTTATTATTGTATTAAATAGTACTACAGTCAACTCTTAATATAGCAAACTCTTGATATAACTAATTTTTTAAACAAATATAATAAAAATACTCTTGTTATAGTGAATTGGCCAATCAAATCTCTTAAAATCTTCACTATAGCCTTATAGCAAAGTTGAGGTCTAGGACATAGAGTTCATTATAATAAGAGTTGACTATATATTTTGATAAAAAAAATATTAAAATTGTAATTTTAATTTATATAAGATTAAAATTCTAAAATTATAATTTAAAGACCATTTATTTTAATTAAATAGTTTTAAAAGTTTCAAATAATATAAGATTATAATTCTATAATCAAAAGATTTAAATTGAATCAAACTATATAAAATTATTTAAGATTTGATTTTATAAGCCTTTTTAATATTTCTAGTATATATAAACTTAAATAATCTTAAGTGTAAATTAGAATTCCAAATAGATTAATTTAAGTTAGGTCAATCAAATTATCTGAACTGAGAGAATCAAATTAAATTAAATAAAAATCTGATCTAGTTTAAATTTTCATTTGACCTGACCTAATCTAACTTAATCAAATTATTTAAGAAGAATAATTAGTTATCATTCAAGAAGAACGATAATGAATTATTTTAAAAATTATTATTCTTAAATGATAAATATTATTCTTAAATAATAAAATCATTATTCTTGAATGATAAAAAATGATAACAAATCATTTTAATTAAACAATAATAAATTATTCTAATTGAATAATAAAATATCATTTAAAAATGATAATAAATTATTCTAATTAAACAATAAAATATTATTCTTAAAAAATAAAAATTTTATTCATAAATGATAAAACTATTGTTTAAGAATAATAATGAATTATTTTAATTAAATGATAAAATATAATCCTTGAATAATAAAATATTATTCTCAAATGATAAAATATTATTTTTAAATAATAAAATTATTATTTGAGAATAATAAAATATCATTCTAAATAATAAGATCATCATTTTCAAATAATAAAATATTGTTTTTGAATGATAAAATCATTATTCTTAAACAATAAAATATTATTCAAGAATGATAACAAATCATTCTAATTAAATGATAAAACATTATTTTTTAACAATAAAATCATCATTCAAATTTGATAAAATATTATTCAAAAATAATAATTGGTTGACCTAAATTTTATAAGATTAGTTCAAATCAGATCAACTTGTTAACCTGATCTAACCTGATATTAAATTAAAAATTTACTGATTTAACTTAGATTTTAGATTAAGTAAATAGGTCAAACTGACTTAATTTAGAACTCTAATATAAATTTATATTTAAATTATTTATAAAAGATGATTATATAAATATTAATTATATTACTTAATAAAAATTTAAAAAAATCTTTAATTATTTTTATTATATTTAACTTTTTTAATTTATAATTTAATTTTATTTAAATAAATAAATAATATTATTAGTAAAATAATTGATCAATAAAAATAAAGTTATATAAATTATGTAGTATAATAATCCCTTAATATAAAATTCTATAAATTCTACAAATATTAAAAATACAAATGATTTACAATATTCAGCTGATTTCTTAAATATTATAATAATTGTAATTAAATAAAGTCTAGAAATATTTAATATAATACTTATTTTTTAATATTTTATTTTTATTATTTTATTATATATTATTATTATTTTTAGTTTATTTATATTTTTATATTTATTAATTAGTTAATTTATAATATAGTAATTAATTAACTATTGTAAAGAAATTTTGTATAAATAGATAAATTTTTTGTTTATACTTATAAATTAACTTTTTGCAAATTTATGACTTAATTACATTAATATAAATATAAATTTTAGTATTATAATAAAGAAGTTAATTAACTTATAACTTTTTGCCTCTTTGTATCTTTATATAATCTAATATGATCATTACATAAAAATTTGTAATTGAATTCATCATCTAATTCTCTAACTAAAATTGCTTGTAATTTTATTATTCAAGTTTTTATACTTGACAAATTTGTTAAATTTAATATGTAAATTTACTAAAGTTAAATTAGACAAATTTTAACATTTAATTATAATAATAATTTAATAAAAATTTTAGAATTTAGTTAATCTGAATTAGAAAATCATAGTAATATAAATAATCTTTAGTTTAATTAAAATTGATTTAATCAAATATTTTATTTAATTTGATTTTATAAATCTTATATTTTTATATATAATATTATTTAGAAGAATTCCTAAGAAAAATTAGATTCTAAGAAATTTTTGATTAAAAATTAAAAGCTTATACGTTTTAATCTAATAATATCAAAAACTAAGATGCAATAAAGATTTCAAACAATTTATCAATACAATTAATACTTTAATTATGCATTAAATAAAACTTAAAATAAATCAGAAACAATTTATCAATATATTAAATCAAAACAAACTTAAAGATAATTCTTTCAAATTTGTTAAAAAATTTCTGAAATTTGATCTTAGCAATCAACCAATTTGATTAAAAAATTGATTTATATATTAATAAATTAGTAAGAACTAGTTAAATACAAAAATCAATAAAATCAATAAAAAATACAGATAAAAAAAAAAAATTATAAATGCTTTCTTTAATAATTTAAATTAATTTATATTATATTATAATAAATTTATTTTTTAAATATTAAATTTTTATTTAAAAAAAAATTTAGTTATAAAAATTTAATTTATTATATAATATTATTTAATGATTATTTTAATACTTAATTAATCATAATATGGAACCTTTGCAATAGAAAGAAGGGAAACATCAAATTTTACTTTTATATGCTAAATATAATTTTCAGGTCAAAATGTGTTCAGATTTAGCATTAACTCATTTTTAATTTTCTCTATTGCAAAGGTCCCATATAATTAATTTTTTTATTATTTAATGATTAATTATTAAAATTTAATTGTGTCACGGATTTTTTTTTTTGGAATACAAAAATAAAAAATTTTATGTGCACATGTACCCATGTGAATTTTTTTTTCAAATTTGATACGCTGCTTACAAGTTTAAACAAAAGCTGATAACCGAATTATTCATAATGTCACGCAGACAAATGGTATCAAATCCTATTTGTCATTCTTTTATAGTTAGTTAGATAAGATGTATTGATAAGAGAAGATACCAATATCTTTCATTAAAAAAAATTTCATAAACCAAAATAAGATTTAATTTTAATCAATGAAAAGTTTTATCAGAAATCTAATTCATTTTCTAGAAAAAATTTTATGGTAGATTGTTTGCATATCCAGTGACTAATGAATGTCATCTCGTGTGACGATCACAGCTAGATCATCTCCAATCAAATATATATAAAGACAAACAAAATTTTCTCTCCTCTCTTTCTACACACATTTAATATAATCATGCCAATCCAGCAAATAGTTCTTCATCCAACCGTTAATAATACTCTAAAGTTTGCCTCTACGACGGTTGGTCGTGATAAGGTTTATAAGGCTGTTCAAAACTTTTCGCGCTTTTTGGCTTGGTATCTGAAGCGTCAGGGTTATGATAAAGAATCAATTCAACGGTTCAGCAATTTGAAAAGCACAATAGGGCTTACACGAAAAAGTATGTTTAAACCTTTTAGTTAGATCCATAATTCACATAGATTTATTAAAGCTTTTTAATTTAAAATCAAAAAGTTATGAGGTTTGGGAAACCAATTGAACATTTGCAACATGCCACAAAAGCACTTAATGAAGTTGAAGAATTCGCGAAGTTTACTACTATAGGACGGCAGCTTGGTTATGCTATATATCTATTTTGGGATACCTTTGTCTGGGTAAGTTTATGAAATAAACTTAAGTATTTTCTTTTATAATTTTATTTTCATCACTTATATATATTTCTTAATATAGGTTCATAACGCTGGCGTATACAAGTTTCAACAAATTAAAAGAATAAACGAAAACGCTAATAGATTTTGGTTGATTGGACTTGTATTCTCAGTTATTCATGGCTTGTATAAATTACATAAAAATGGTTATCAATATAACTTTATGAGGCGGGCAAGTAAATCCAGATTTGCGGAATCTAGCGAACAGCCAAACGTCAAATCAGAAACTGCATCACTTATGAAGTAGGAATTTTCTTCTCATTTTTACCATTATTTTTGCAATTGGTTTTCGTCTTTTGAGTTTACTCACGAACCTTGTTTTTTTAAACAGGGAACGCAAAGCTGTTATCAGACAACTCGCTCAAGATCTACTCGATATAATTCTCCCAGCTACAGCGCTTGGATATGTCCATTTTGATATATACTAATCGGCTATAAGTATGCCAATTGACTATAAATAAAATAGGTTAATTTTTGGCTGATTTTTGGCTGATTTCTGATGTATGTCAATCGGTTAGGCTGATTTTTGATAATTTGCTGAATTTAGGTTGATTTTAGGCTCGATTTTAGGCTGATTTTTGCATGTCCAATTTTTTTGATTTTGACTAGTGATAGTTTGTTATAGACATTTATAAAGGCTTAATATGATGATTATAACTAATATAATTTTAGAAAATTTTCTGATATTGATGAATGATTTATTAAAAGTATATTATTAAAATATATATAAGTAATTAAATTACAATGTAAAATAATTTAAAGAAAACTTATTTATAAAACCTTAGTATATTAGTCTGAAGTATGTTTTCTTTAATACTTTAATTTTGTATAATTCTTTATTGTAAATTCTATGCATTATTTATTTAAGTATCACTAAATAAATTATAACTTGACTATAAATTAAAAAAGACTAATTTTCTTAAAAGAATTTAGAAATAATACAGAGAAAAGTAAAATTAATAAAAATTCTAATAAATATTAATAGATTTTTATTTAAAATTTCTATAGGTAAGAATTTTTTAGGCTTTATAACAATTCAATAAAAAAACTTTTATTTCAGTTTATACTAATTCTATTATGTAAGATTTTGTTTTAAATATCAAATAGAATAATTCTTGTGAATTTTGTCTGTATATACAATATTTTTATTTATAAAATAAATCTAAAAATAAATTAAATAAAGTTTATTAATATCTTTTAATAAAGGTAAAGCTTATCAGAGAGAATTATAATCTAAGAAAAATTATATTAAATTTGCATTTGTGATTACATATTTGTCAATATGCATTAAATTATAATATGCTATATATATTTTAATACTTTAGTTATAAACAAATAAATAGTTTGTTAGGTAAATATAATTTTTTATAATTATTATTAATATGATAGATTATTAAAATAAAATATTTTATTTTATAGATCATATTATATTAATAATAGAAAAGTTAAATTAGAATTATTAAAAATACTTTAATACAACTTCTTTCTTAATTATTTTTCATTATATACCTAAGATTATACATATTTATTAGCCTATTTACCTTTAATATCATCTAAATAGCTATTAGTAGCCTTAATATTTAAGATAAATTTAATGAATATAGTCAACTCTTAATATAGCGAATTCTTGATATAACAAATTTTTTAAACAAATATAATAAAAATACTCTTATTATAATGAATTGACCAATCAAATCTCTTAAAATCTTTACTATAGCCTTATAGTGAAATTGAGATCTAGGATATAGAGTTTATTATAACAAGAGTTAACTGTAGATTATTGTGAATTTTTATTAATATCTAAAAATATTAAAAGATGCAGAAATAGGTTTAAAATCTTTTTTCTTAATTCAAAAGAGAAAAATACAAAAGTTTTAGAAGAAATATTAGATTTATTAATTAAATAATATTGTAATACTTATAATAAAAACTTTATGACTTTATCTGATATTTATATTATTTAATCTAATGCAATTTCAATATTTCTAAAAGTAAATATTTATGAAAATTATAATTTGACGCTAAAGTTTTAGATTAACTTATTCAAAAAAATATATCAAATTAGCTAAAATATTATTTCAATTAATTAATGATAGTTTTAAAGAAATTTATCCTGATATTGTTTAATATTATTTTAAATATACTGTGTATTTTCTAAATTTAAAAAGATCATGAAACATTTATTAGCATTTATAAAATAGTATTTACCAATAAAAAATCATAAAATTAGATTTTAATGTTAAATAAATAATTAGTTCTTGTAATATTGAATTATGAAAAAAGGAATTTTATGATATGAATAAGAATTGTATTATTCTTGTATATAGTATATTAAGTCAGTTTGTTAAGAGTTCTTTTTTAATCAGTAAAAATATATATAATTATATAACAATAATACTAATTATTAGAAAAATTCATACTTAATTGAAATTTATATTATTCACTATTCATGTTGACTTAGTCACAAATAGTATCTGAATACTTTCAAAGCTAAACTTTGTGAAAATTGATTAATACTTGAGCATAGTATTATGTCTTTAATATTAACTTTTTCTATTACTTGATGTTTTTCATAATTTTTATATAAAGTGAGAAAAAGTATTAAGTTTTCTTCAATATTTGCGAAGCTGAATTAAAAAAGGAAAGTAAATTTTATTTTTTTTTTGATATTTATTTATTAAAGTTATGTAATTGTAACCTCTATATACAGTATCTTCTGTATATTGTATTCCCCTTAAAATAGTATACAATTTCTCATTTAGTATCTGTACACTAATTGAAATAAGAAAAATCAGCAATCATTAATTTCGGTTAACTTTCAATAATGCTGGCAAAAGTTCAGCAAAATTTTGACTGGCATTAAGATTCAATTAAAATTCAACTAAAATTAGGCTCACTTATTTTTAGTCTATTATCAACTTTTGGCAGCATTGAGAGTCATTTAAAAACTGATTAAAATTAAGCTTGCCCATTTTATAATCTATTTCTAGCTATTTTATAATCTATTTTTAATTAAAATATTTTTAATTATAAATTTTATAATTTGATAAAATGTTATTATAAAAAGTCATAAATATAAATAAAATCGTCATTTAAATTATTTAAATATGATATTTTCTGTTAATTGAGTTGATAGCTAGATATTCTACTGTATTATGATGACTTGAAACTTTGTATTTCACTGAAATGAATTGACTAAGAATATGGTGCACAGGTATTATGCAGTCACGACCTTTGGAGTAAAATCTATTGCATCATAACTCAACATTACAAGTATTTTTAGTGTTAAAATAATATTGTATATTTGTTGAATCAGCATGATAATACCATTTGACGTATGCTAAATAATATATTAGAGAACTATCCAGTAAGTCAGCCACATGAGTAAAGTAATATTAGACTTGTCCAGGATAGTAATCAATATAACCATTATCTGTCATGAATTTTGCCAAAACATAACAGCTTTTTGCATACCGTAAAGATATTACTGAACTAAAAACTTCAGATCCAATCTGACACCTTTCAAATTTATTCACTTTATACGAATTGTTATGCTATCTATCGAACCTCTTCCAGGTTTACAAAATTTAAGTGATTCATAAGCCACCGTATAATATTTGATCATTAAATCCAACATTGTAGCTGAAAGTGTGATATTTTCAGAAAAAGGTTTCAATATTTCGCCTGGCATTCTTTCACTTCTGGTAATTTTTGATTCTTAAATATTTCTAGAGTTAAGTTAGAATCGATGGATCTCATCAGAAGAAAACTTGTTAGTTGCAAATAAAGATCCAACTGAAGGCTTATTGTTCAATAGGTCAAAGCCTTTTCTTTCTATATCAGAACTCGTAATTTCGCCTATTTAAGTGTCAAATATTAATTAACTCATAATTTCAAGTTCAATTTGTTGATGGCTATTTGGTAAAGAACCTAATAAAAAAAATAATTTAAAGAAACATTGAAGATTATTAGATTGGTAGTAAGTTTAAAAACCTACTCACCTAATACACCATTCATACGCTCAAATGAAAAATACCAAAAAGAGTAAAGAGGCCTGAAATTATGCATGCATTCATACAAGTAAAGCGAAAAGTGAAGATTTAGTATTATTTTATCTTGACTGTAATGCTCTTTAATTAACTTTACTATTTTAATCAGCCTATTATAAGCCTCAGTCATGAGATCATGTTCCAAATCTGGTTCACTAGAATTGAACAAACTCTAACAAAGTGTGTAAGAATTTTTTTATTTTTAGATAGAAGGTGTTCCTAAAGTGACACAGTTGCATAAATAATGAAGAATATTCGCCATTGATCCAATGTGAAGTTTGAAAAACCTTTTTCACAATCAATTTTTTGAGGGATTCAACCTAAATCAGACAGAATTTGAAATTGGCTCATTTTCTTTAGACATTTTTTAGGTCACTTAGCGTTAAAATACCTTCATTGATTCAAATTCTTTTGATTACTCATTTCATAATACCTAAAAATAGACAATGCATTAGGTCAATGGTTAAAAATTGAATTGGATTAAAATAAGTTAAACAGAGCAATTCAGACTATCTAACTCCAATATCTTTAATAAAATATTTTCTCGTAGCATCTGAATTGCATCTTCATCAACTAATAGCATCTTGACAATACTGAGCTGAATTCTGAGTCGTAAACCATCTATTTATGTCAGACATACCTGCAAAATTATGTTGATTATTTTTATAATTAATCTTCTTTTTGCATATGTAATATGATACTAATTCTAAGACGTAATCGCAAATTTTTCTTGCAGCAAGTATATCACATGAGACTAAGATCAATGTTGCATAAACTCTTTTCCCATCAGAACATTCATGTGTGCTATTCAGAGTTACTCCACTCTAAAGTGATTCTAATTCATCAACAATCGGGGTCAAATAATGGTTAATTTTATATAGACTAACTTTATTCAGCCTGGTAAGATGCCCAAAATTAGTATATTTTCACATTTGAAATGCATATCCTGTAATAAATTATATATAACAGCGTATATTACATCAGTACTATGAATAGTTCCTTTGTAAGGCTAAAACCAATCAAGATTTAGCATCAGACAAAGATGTGAGTTAACGATTTCTCGAAAAAAATATAGTGAATCTTCTTTATTAGTGTTCTTAAAATTTTGCCAAACTTGCCTATCATATATATTCGTTAAAATATTATCATATGTTAGCCTATTTACCTAATAACGCAATGAAGCTTCAAAGCTAGGTTGATAATATAAAGCTGCCAATTATTCGCGAATTCTAACAAATAGATAAATCAGCTTTGACTTGTTTATGATTTGACCACTTAATAATTTCACTTGTTTAGATAAGTTTATTTGGCATATTTTTGATTTATGAATTGCTGAATTCAGGAATTTGACATGATTACAATTTATAACAGAAAGATTTCCATTTTTCTGAAATTCAGCGACTTTTTTTTCATTATATAATTTGTGACATTTCAGGCATACTGCAAAATTATGAAAGTTATCTTTTAAGCCAAGCTTCATTCTTACTAAATAAAGTGAATTAGAAAAAGAATCAAATTTAGGACTACTAATTTCTTTTAATACAAGCTTCATGAACTTTATGAGTAACTCTGTAGCTGTCTCTGGTAAATTAAACTTTACATGAAAGCTCATTATCTATAACAATATCTATGAAGAGTGATCATTATTTGTCGATTATATATTATATATCTCTTGAAATGGTATAAATAAAGGGTACGAATAGTCTTCGAAAATTTTAGCAATATCATTATAATCTTTATTTAACAAACTTTGACTTTCACTCTCACTGCTTTCATTCTCATTTACTTCTGAATTATCGTAAATATTATCATTAATGATAAGATTTCGTTTGAGGTTTGATATAAAATGATTTATATATCTTTTATGCCATCGAGGGTAGTGATTAATTTCCTTTTCATGGTCTTCTTGCTGTATTTCATTTGGATTCTCTTCCTCTTAGTCATCTTGCTAGAATTCATTTTCTTATTTATCTGATAATAAATTAGCCAATTCTTCTTAGGTGAAAACTATTTGATCTTGTTCGTAGTGGTTGTTATAATAACATATTACTCATAGATCAACCAATGCGCTATCACATTTACTGCAATAGCATGCAATCTTTGACCTTTTTCTTTTCTTATACATTTCAGAAAACAAATAAAAAACTTGATATTTTTAATATTTAACATTATATACATTTATTTTAAGATATTTAAGTCAGTTTACATGCAATCAAGACAATCAATTTTGTAAACAAGAAGATACATAAGTTAATTTTTAATTATGTTTTATTTTAAGTATAATAAAATTTGAAGTTTATTTTGTTACTAAAGCTTACTGAAAGTTTAAATTTTTTATATAAAAAGAATCATTTTCTGATTTATACTCAAATTATCTTTTTTCATATATTTTCAATTTTTATAATACAACAACAATAGAAACAATGACTCGTTAAAAAATGACTCATCATAATAATAATAACTTTTCTCCTACCTCATAGCAAACTAATACAACAAATACCCTTCATATTTCATCAACATTAAACACTTCAGCTCGCAACAAAATACATGTTGTCATGCTTCAACCTTGAAGAATAACGACTCTCTAGTTTCACAACAAAATACACAGCCAACTTTAAATATTCTAGCCTCACGAAATAATATAACAAAAATTCTTTATGCTACTTTAGACTTATGAAATAATATAACAAACACTCTTTGTATCTCACTAGCTTCAGGCACTTTAGCTTCACAACAAAATACAAGTCATCATATCCTAACTTTAGAGGGTAATAATAAACGAAATATAGTTAATACTAATCAATCAATGCTAGAGACTGTCAAAAATCTCCAAGGAAGAGTGCATAACCTTTGGGCATCAGATTTCACTGAAATAATTGATGATAATAAGAGTAACGTGCCTGTTTGTAGTATAACTAAAAATATGCCTATAGAACCTATTGATAATTCTCATGAAGGTATGTTTTTTAGCTTGTTACATTATCATGTCATTTTATCGTCAATTTAATCTACTAATTTGTCTAAAAATTACAAGACTAAAAGAAGAAGTTGAACGATAGAAAGAGAAAACTCGCTTTTGGTAAAAATGATATGATATTGTTATCGAGCAGATTAAAAATATTTGTGATGATGTAGATTGTCTAAATATAGAATAGAACTATTAAGAGCAGAAAATGAAGCTCTTATATTTGTTAATAAAGAACTTTTAAAACTTAAGAATAAGATAAAACAAAATTTGATCGATACAAATCAGAACAACAATTAATTGATAAGGATGACGATACATTAGCTGATAATGACGATTGTTCCTCTCAGCTAAGAAAAAGGGTAAAAGTTATATCAAAATTGAGAGGCAAAAACAAAGCTTCATCAATCGAAGCTTAAGAATCAAATGACAAAACAGCACGGGTTTGTAATTTTATTTATTCTATTATGATAATTTAAATTTAATCTTTATTTAAATATTTGTTCTTATAAATAGGCAGAAATGAAGAAGATATTAAAAATTTTACCAAATAACTTTGAAATGAAATATGATTAAGTATTTAATAGCTCAGATAATAAAAGAATCTGACAACAATTAGTACTGTTATTGTGCAATCCTTGCAAATTGCGACAGTTAGACGGGGTGTTCGAGTGGTGATTCTTTTAAGTTTACATAGCAACTCAATTCAGTTTATCTTAAGATTTATAATCTACACAGTAGTGTATTCACGACAAGACTAGAAGCAAGGTAACTTGATAGATTCAGAGGTATAATAATATGTTTATTGACGATAAATAATAAAATAAAAGATAATACTAATATATAAAAGTAAGAAAATAAGAAAGAATAAGAGAAATCAAAAGAATTAAAATACTAAATAGAACGTTAGGCCAGATGCCTTTACAAGAACGACTAGATATGTAAAAGTAAAGCTAAAGGAAAAACTAGAAGTGAACTAAAAGCGAACTACTGTTTACATGATTATATTGCTCTCTATTTATATTAAATTAATACATAGATGGATATAACAAATAAATCAAATATATATAATATGTCCGATATGTCAAAGATATTAATTATATCAAATATGTCCAGTATATCAAATATATCAAATATATCAAATATGTCTGATATATCTAACATTTAGATCTGTAATATACTGCATCACATTTGTTAATCCAATCCTGTTATAGTACTAGAATTATTAAGATCATTATAACCTCGATACAACTCTTTATATAATCAATTGAAGGAGTGGCCCTATACATTACATAAGCACTGAAGAGACGGTTATATGTTAAGCCAAAAAGGAATTTAAGATCAATCTAACAGACGAGTACACAATAATAATCACATAGCAGAGGCATGAAATTTGTTAGTTTTTATAATTTTTAACATTTGTATCTAACATTTTCATATATATAGAAAAAAGTTCAGTAAATAATAGATGCATTGGCTTTATTCAATGTGAAAGATCTTTAAATCTCGAAGTATAATAAAGACAAAATTATGAAATTACTCAAGATTTCAGAATATCATTCATCTGAGAAATCAGAAATAGATCAGGAAAATGATGAAGAAAAATGCCAGATAATTGTATATGATTATTTCTAGCGTTCAAATGAGATTTAATAATTATTATCATTCTTAGTGTATTAGCTTTCTTAAGTACTAATAATAATTTGTTTAATTTTAATTTTCTTCATATAATTTCAGTTTAAGAATCTTTTACGAAATATTTTTGAAAAGCATGTATTGTCACAACAATCAGCTTAGCTGACGAGATCTCAGATTTATGATAATATTCGTTTCTGCAAAAACATATCATCGCCAAAAAATGTGACAAGTTAGGCTTATAAGTAACGAGCATCTCTACAAGATAAAATTATACAACAAAGAGCTACTAGTTATTATAACTATTCGTTTAATTATAGAACTGAAGAAGAACATATGTATGGTGAATCTTCAACAACTGGTATAATAAGAGGAGCGATTTTATAAAATGAATAAGATAAAGACGTTCTATAATATGATGATGTTCTACAATACGATAATGCTTCACAAAGTGATAACAATTATGACAATATCCTACAATATTTTACTGACGATGAAGATGTATAATTCTAGATGAACTTTTAATATTTTCACATATTGCTTATTATATAATATTTGCTTTTTATGTAGAATTCTTATATAATATTTGCGATCTTTATACTTTTATGTATTATTTTTATATTTGCGTTTTTATTAATAATAAAATTTTATAAAATTAAGTTAAAATACAACAAAATACAATTGAATTTGTATAAAATTCAATATAAAATTTCAGCCGATTTTCTATCTATATGTAATTAAAAGTTAGTCGATATTTATATCTGAATTATAGTTGTTTGTTATCTGAATCTTAAGTTTAAAAATAACTGAAAGATATAACTAAAGGTGCCAGTCAACTATCTAACATTCGAATAAAAAAAGCCAACTTTAGGTCAAATTAGACCTAAAACTGACAATCCTAATTCTGGTCAAAATGGATCATTTCAACTAGTAGTGGGTACTATTCAATTTGAAAAATCACATTTTTGATTAAGATTCTAAATATTATATGCAGTGGTATACAGTATTAACAATATTTTATATATATTACTTAATATATTTATCAGTTTTTTAATGATCTATTAAATATTATTAATTGAAATATTAGTATTTTGTAATCTTTTGATTTTGTAAAATTTTTACTGATATTTTAATAACAAATTATTAATTATTTGAAAACTGAAAATTATTTGTTTTGATACTTATTTTTTATCAACTATCTTTAATATACTTTATAATTTGCTAGAATCTTATATAATAAAAGTTATAAAACTATCAGAATTCTAATTATTAACTAACAAAAAAATACCTGTTAGTTAAGAATCAAATCTGATTTGATCCTGATTCTTAATTGATAAATATTAATCTGATTCTTTATCAATTGATCTGTATTATCAAAATTAATCTATGTTATTATGAATATAAATAAACTATTAAATCTGCTATATTAGTAGTATTAATATTAATCTAAATAAACTTCAATTTTAAACTTATTTTATCTAAATATTCTAATTCTAATTATTTATTAATATATACTTTTTAAATAATAATACTATCTCTTATCCATTTTTTAAGAAGTAAAAAAAGCTTTTTTAAAAAAGTAGTATTTAAATAAGCTTTAATATATAAAATCTGTTACAAATAATCAATATTGTAACGACTTTAGTATTTTACATTTTAGTATATGGAAAAATAACAATAACAAATAAATATTAAATTTTTTCTCTTGCAATAATTATTATATATACATGCATATCCTATAACTTATTATAATATAATATATACAAAAATTAGCCCAATAGGTTCAATCATTTCTTTTGTAAATGTGTTATATATATATATTGTGATATGAAAGCGTTGCCAGTAAAATCACATTACGAATCATATTGTCTCATACTGCCAACGTTTCCCATATTCCACAAACATACTTTCATAAATTATCAAATCAGAGGAACCAATTGAGAATTCGGCCTACATAACCAAATGGTGCATAAACATCTTGTTCCTCTTCCTGTTGCTCCTGGACGATTTCTTGCCGTTCTTCATGATTAATGGATGCAAATTCGGTCGATGATCTAATGGTCGCGATATTTTTTTGTTCGTCTCCGTTTTCGGATGTGGTGGATTCAGACTCAGATTCGCTTAATTCGGCGTATTGATCGTCGGATTCGTGACATGACTTCATTCTTTCGTCATAATTTTCATATTTTTCATTCTCATCTTTCTCGTGATGAGAAGCGAACGATGGTGAGAAGTAATCACCGTCTTCATCTTCATCTTCCAACTCGGGTGAAGTTGGATATATTTGTTGTTGGTCGTCATCTGGTCCGGACGATGATGATGTTGGCATTCTTGGTGTGGGCAAGCTTTCGGAAACATAATCCGATTCACTTTCGCGAGCCGGAGGCGAAGTGTACCAGTCATCTGTCAATGGCCGGTGCTCATTTGTGAACACAACCCGTGGAGCCCCAGTGCCGTCGTTTTGGCTTCTTGCAACAAAAGTGTCGCGATATTTTTTTATATCCTCGAATTTCTCGAGAAACGAGTCCCTCCCGTTCATTTCAAGATCGCCGAGTAACCTATGAAGGCCTTCACGGTAATGCCTCTGTTGCGAGATATTCTCACCTTCGTAATATCCGGTAAGATCATCAATGATCACTTTTTCTATAAATAAAAAAACCAAAGTAATATAATAGCAAATTGAATAATAATATATATATGTGTATAATAAAAAAGAAAAATACAGAAGTACATACCGGTCTTTGGAAGCTCACGGAAATGCTGCGACCTGCAGTCGTTGTCATTGCATATACCCCGCGGTTGTAGTTCAAAAGCGCACATCTTCTTGTTCGGAACAATATTATTATTGTATGTGAATGACTTAACGTCACTCACAACTTCGACATATTCAGGGTGGAACCTGAATGAGCGGAAGCCAATTAATGGGCTTTCGTAAGATCTGAAGACCTCATATTGGTTTTCAGAAATAGCCTAAAATGAAAGAAAAAATATAATACATATAAATATATAAAGTAATTTAATTAAAAAGCTTAAACAACGTTTAAATAATTAAATACTTGCTTCTTGCGAAGCTATCTTTTCAGCTCTCCACTCGTTGTCTGGACCCAAATTTTGAATCTTTTTAACCATTGTCGTTTCTGCCTCTCCTTGACGCTTCTTCTCTAAGCTTTCTCGCAATGATTGTTGTTCCTTGCTCACCTGCTCGATCTTCTTACTGAGCTCTGCTACTTCATGAGCTAATTTAGGTTTCTTAGGAGTGTCCTCTTGAACAGTTTCTGGATCGTAAATGATGCTCCTTTTTCCGTTTTTATTAGGAACGGATGGCAATGATTCGACCAAAGTCAAATCGTTCCGGGTCTTTGTCGACTGAGCAACCATTTGAGTAAGTCGTTCTTTTTTAACCTTAATATCCTTTAACATAGGTCCAAGCTGTTTCTTAATCTGTGCGACGTTTTCCACTACTCCACTCTCTCGTCCCAAATGCTGTTCTTTCGTCCTTAATTGCTGAGCATATTCCTCTTCTTTTTTGGCCAATCCAATAGCTGTGCTTGCTTTTTCTTTATCAACGTTGTCGATTTGATACTGAACTTTAGCAAGCTCGTCTTGAAGTGTCCGGATGCGACATTCGATTTCTTCTCTCTTATTTAGCATTTGACCCTTTTGTAAGTCGTAATTTTTCATCTGCTCTACGCATTGCTTGGCAAGCGAACTACTTTCTCCGATCTTGATATCAATATCGGCTACTTCAGATCGGATACTTTCAAGCCTCTTTTCTTCTTCGTTAAGGCGAGACTTAACTTCTGAAACATGAGATTTTGCTGTTTCGAAAGCTTCCAATTCTGCTCGAATCATGTCAATTGATGTTTCCGTATTCGAGCTGGTTGAGATTCTTTGAGTTGTTGTATTAGATTTTCTTTTGAGCAATTCAGTCTTGCTCGCGATCAATTCGTTCATTCTCTTTATTTCACGTTCCTTCTCCTCCAACTTCCGCTTGGCATCTAATTGTGTTTCATTGCCAGATAATGATGATTTAACTTCTTTAAGAAAGCCAGCTATATGATGCTCATCATCTGAAGTATCACTTAATTCAATAATAAAATTTTGTTCCCTGGATACCATAAATGGCCTATCCACCGATACAAAACTCGGCCCGGCTTGAGAAGTTGTAGGTATTGTTTGCACCAAGGGATTTTCGCGCTGATGCTCCACATTGTTGATTATGGGTAAATTGACTTCTACCGGTTCAAGTTTGATTGAACTGAGCGAAACAGTATTCAATGAAGAAACTTGTTCTTGTCCATTTTGAGTTACAACACTAAAAACTTCTAATTCTGGTGGCAATATGTGATTAAGCTCCCTTGTAAATCGAACCACGACATCGATTGGAATTCCTTCTTCAATGATATCAAGTGGTCGTGCCCCATATTCTTCGTAAAGCTCTTTCATCAATTCTCTTGCCTCTTCATCTGCATTCTTGACCCGAATTACATGTTCTTCAGAATTCAACTCCGATTCGACAATTTCTCCTTCTTCTATTTCGCCTTCTTCAGCAGGACTTCCAGTTTCGCTATCAAAGGCCCAAGCCATTTCAGGAGAATTTTCAAGATATCGTTGAAATAAGTTGCCAGCAGTTCGCTCGTAATTAGTTCCGTTTACTACTGCCTGCATTATGTCAAAAGGGTTTGTTATTGGTCTAAACCTTCGGAAGTCATCCTCGTCAGAGTCTTCTACGCCAGAATCTACGTATTCTCCTTCTTCTGGTGAAAAGGCCACAATTGCTGAAGGATCAAGAATTTGAGCCTCCGGCGTAACATACTCTTCAGAAGGAAGTGAATGTCTTTGCGGGGGTGTCGTATAACCGTCATTTTTTATTGTTTCTTGTCGAGTTACATTAATTTGTTGTGGTTGGGCTAATGTAGTTGTTACTTCATGATCCTCAATTTGTTGTGTTGTCTCACGTCTCATTGATAACAAGACTGCTTGACGTAATGCTTCTGCTTCAGAAGAAATAGGTGTTGACATATTTGTTGTTTGCAAAGACCAAAAAAAATGAGATATTTTTTTTTGCTTTGGTTTAAAGTTGAAACTAAAAGAAAAAGAACATGAGGGAATGGATTCAGACGATTTTATTCTTATTGATAATGCCTAAAAAAAGACCCGGATATAATTAATTCATTTTCACATAAATTATTAATATTTTACGTTTTTATAATAGTTTATATAAAATTTATAAATAAAATTATTAGTTAAATAAATTTATCTATAAACTAATTTATAAATTTATAAATTATTATATTATGTCTATTAGACTTATTATAATAAATAACTTAATTTATTAATAATAGAATTTTTTAAAAATACATATTAAATTTAATATTTAGACTTTAATAATTAAATATAATATTGTTATAGTTAGTTCTTTATAATCTATTTTTTTTATTCTATCTATCTTCCCTTATATGCTTGTTTTATTTTAGTTATTTTTTTTTAGACTTTTTTACTATTGTCTTTTTTCTTTGATATATTTTTTATTACTATTTTATGATTTAATCATCACTTATTCTTTAATCAAATTACTTTTATTTTCTTCTTATTTTACCTTATTTACAAGTTGAGTTCTTTATTAAGGATATTAACACTTAATACCTATTTAAATATTAGGTTTAATATTGAGAATATCCACTTTTTATACCTATTTGATTACTTATTAAGTTACTATAATTGCACATGTTTAATTACCTTTCAAAGTACTGAAATAGTATAAAAAGACTAATGCTCTGAACGGTTCAGTTTGGTCTGGATTATAGGCCAATCCAAAACTGAACTGAAAATTTCAGTTCAATTCAGTTCAGATTAAAAATCTTAAAAATGCTAATCCGAAACTGAACTGAACTATAAACTGATAAAAATCTGTATCGAACCAAAAATTTCAGATTAATCCAAAATTTTAGATCATTTGGAATAATAACTTCAATCATTCAAATGAACGATTTTTGGAATGATAATTTAATTGTTCCAATCGAATGATTTTCTTATCGTTCGTTTAGAACGATAATTTGATCGTTCATTTAGAATGATAATTTAATTATTTGTTTAGAATGATAATTTGATCGTTCATTTAGAATGATAATTTGATTGTTCATTTAGAATGATAATTTGATCGTTTCAATCGAACGATTTTCTTATCATTCGATTGGAACGATAATTTCATTATTCTAATCGAACAATTTTCTTATCATTCATTTAAAACGATAATTTGATCGTTTCAATCAAATGATTTTTTTATTGTTCGTTTGAAATGATAATTTCATCATTCCAATTGAACGATTTTTTTATTGTTCGTTTGGAATGATAATTTATCATTCAAATTGAACGATTTTCTTATCATTTGTTTAGAATAATATTTTGATCGTTCTAATCAAATGATTCTTTTATCGTTCGTTTAGAATGATAATTTTATCATTCTAATCGAACGATTTTTTTATCATTCATTTGGAACGATAATTTGATCATTCCAATTAAACGATTTTTTTATCATTCATTTGAAACGATAATTCATCATTCTAATCGAATGATTCTTTATCGTTCGTTTAGAATGATAAATTTAATCATTTCAAACGATCTGAAATTTTAGATTAATCTGAAATTTTCAGTT